ACAGTCCTCAGTTGAGGGGCATATGGGAGGCTGCTAAGCGATGTTTCTTACATCAACGCTTCCCCTCACTCTCTTACACCCTCCCTTCCCCTCTCTAAAAATAAGATAAAATATTTAAAAATTAAAAAAAAAGCAACATGGTAATAATCAAAATGAGTGTGTTTCAAGGTCAAGTTCAAAGTCATACATGGTCAGAATGAGAATTTCAAGGTCATCTCAAGGTCAGGAAGTGTGAGTTCCAGGTTGGCCTTCATGATAATGAAAGAAAGAGGATGACCATCAAGGTCAAGTTCGATGTTCAGTGTTGGACTGGGGGCAAAAGTCATGGGTCTTCAGAGTGTATCTGGCTGAGCAACCGAGTATGGGTTTGGATTACTGGAACAATATGAACGTAAACTCAGTAATATACATTCACCTCAACAGCAAACTCTTAACTGAGGTTTAAGCCTACCTATTACCATGAGTATAATTAGTGGTAACGAAAAGAATCCATAGTAGTGTCAGCAGGCTCAATCTTAATCATTCAATTTATGTAACTTCTCAAAATGGACACAAACAGTGCTACATACATTCATCAGAATGAATTAGCATGAATTTAATTAGTGTTATTGGAAAGCATAATTACTAATGCAAAAAGGCTCAGCCTTAGACATTTACTTCTTATCCAGTGTTCGTGGATAGGAAGAATGACAATTCCTACTAAAACCAATGGCATATCTCACAGAACGAGAATATTCCAAAAATTTATAAGGGACCACAAAAAACTACAAATAGCCTCAGCGATCTTGAGAAAAAAAGAACAAATTTGGAGGTATCACACCACCTTGATTTTAAGCTATACTACGAGTATCTTCATGTAATCTTCATGATTACTGTGGCATTAAGTGATCTTTGGCATGAAGATTATATGGCATGAAGACATAGATCAATGGGAAAAAACCCCACTCCTTTATGGTCAATTACTATTTGACAAAGAAGACAAGAACATACAATAGGGTAAGACAATAAATGGCGTTGGGAAAACTGGACAAATGTGCAAAAATATGTATTTGGTTGGCCAAAAAGTCCATTTAGTTTTTTCCATAAAATAAAAGATACATTTTTCATTTTCACCAATAATTTTATTGGATATTTTGAACATGCTCTCTCCTGTGTGGTTGAATGTTGACTGTTCTCAATGTCTCGATTTGATTGCTATCAACTTCAACTGGTCTACCCAACCATGGAGCATCGTCCATCAGGAAATCTCCAGTATGAAACTTCGCAAACCACTTTTGACACATTTGATCAGTCACAGCACCTTCTCCATACACTGCACAAATCTTTTTTTTGCATTTCAGTTGCATTTTTACCTTTCTTGAAATATTAAAAGCATAATATGCCCAAAATGTTGCATATCTTCTTCCATCTTCAATATTAAAATGGCTGCACAAAAATTCACCAATTTGGTAAGTTTTTAGAAAATGCACGCTGATATGACAGCTGTCACAATACAATCTAATGAAACCGTTTCTGATGAAATTAAAGACAACTACTAGAGCCATCTTACAGAAAAAAACCAAACGAGTACTTTGGCCAACCCCAATAACTACACAACCAAATTACAACATACACAAGAAAAAACTCGAAATGGATTAAAAAATGTAAATCTTGAAACCATAAAAATCCTAGAAGAAATCAAAGGCAGTAAAATCTTGGATATTTTTCTGTTAAATTTTTAATTTTTTTAAATTTTATCTAGACAGACAGAGAACCATCAATTTGTACTTTCACTTATTTATGTTTTCATTAGTTAATTCTTGTATGTACCCTGACTGGGAACGGAACCTGCAACCTTGGAATATATGGATGATGCTCTAATGAACAGCTACCTGGCCAGGACTCAGATATTTATTGTAGCAGTATTTAATTTAATTTAATTTAATTCAATTCAATTTATTTATTTATCGATGTATCTCCTAAGGCAAAGGAAACAAAAGATTAAAAAATGGGACATCATCAAATTAAATAGTTTCTCCACAGCAAAGGAAACCATCAACAAAATGAAAACACAACCACTGAATGGGTGAACATATCTGCCAAAAGCACATAAAGGGGGTTAATATCCAAATTTACATAGAACTTACAAAACTCAACACCAAAAAAAAAAATCCAATTTAAAAAATGGGCAAAGAACCTGAATAGACTTCTCCAAAAAGGACATACAAAAGGCCAACATCTGACATAGGAAAATATGCTCCAGTCACTAATCGTCAGAGAAACTCAAAACCACAATGAGATATCACCTCACACCTACCAGAATGGCTATCATCAATATGACAACAGTTAAGTGTTGGTGAGAATGTGGAGAAAAGGAAACTCTTGTGCACTGTTGGTGACAATGAAGACTGGTATAGACACTAGAAATCGTATGGAGTTTTCTAAAAAAATTAAAAATGGAACTGCCTATGACCCAGCAATTCCTCTTGGGGGAACGTATCTGAAGAAACCCGAAACACTAATTTAAAACATTAGTACTACTATGTTCATTTCATTATTTACAATAGCCAAGTAGATGAGTGAATAAAAAAGCTGTGGTAAATTTACACAATGGAATACCCCCTCAGCCGTTAAAAAAAAAAAAAAAAAAAAAGGGAAAAGGAACTCTTACCTTTTGTGACATCATGTATGGCCCTAGAGATTATTATGCTAAGTGAAATAAGCCAGTCAGAGAAAGACAAATACCATATGATTTCCTTTATATGTGGAATCTATAAAATAAACTAACAAACAAAATAGAAACAGACTCATAGAGTATGGACTGACAACTGTTGGGGGCAAGAGGGTTAAGGGGCTGGGTGGAAAAGATGAAGGAATTAAGCAAAACAAAAAAAGAAGAAAAAAGAACTGACACAGACAACAGTATGATGATTGCCAGAGGGAAAGTGGAGGTGAGGGAAGTAGAAAACAGTAAAGGGGTGATAAATAGTGATAAGAGACTTGACTTTGGGTGGTGAATGCATGATGTAATATACAGATGATATGCTGTAGAGTGTACATTTGAAACCTGTATAATTTTATTAACCAATGTCACCCCAATAAGTTTTTTTTAAAAAGAACTTCAAAATGTTATAGTAATGCTTGTGTTAGGCAAAAATTCTAATAGCTCAAAGCCCCCTGCATAGTTTCATGTATTTGTATAATATCCACAAGGGTAGTAGCTAAATTATGAATTTCCATAACAGGGATAATGCAAAAAATATTAACTTTGGTAGTTTCTAAGCCTCTCATAATTATTTTTACGTAAAATAAATAGAAAAAAAAGAACTCTTCTTGTTAGTGTAAATGGAGATGAAGGTAAACACAGCAGTACTGTATTTCACATTCACACTGAGGCAGTGAGTTTGGATTAAACTAAGAATTACTATCGAAATGAGTTTGTATTAGTGCAACAAATTCATTTCCAGACATTCTTCTCAAAAGTAACTCATTGTCTGTCAGAGCAAATTGAGATGAATGTAAACATAGCCAACACACATTCGTCTCAATTCACACTGACTGGTTAGGCGGGGCATATTCAAATGAACCTTAAGAGCATTACTGAAAAGAAACCTTACTGCTTGGTGAAGCAAATGGACTTGTTTCTCTCTAAAGTACATGTTTATTGTGAACCTAAGTAGCAATATGGAAAAAGTTACTGTATTAGTATAGACTTTAGTCTCAGCCATTGCTTCTTATTGCAGATAAACCAAATTTTGATGAACATAGTGTGTATGTGTACCATTTAGGTATACACAATGAAATCAAGATCAGCCAGACATTGGGCTGATGGGATAGCTGACTGATGAGTCAAGAGGTTGGAGAGTAAGGTTGTCCACGTAGGATTCAATGTTAATTTCAAAGTCAAGATTATGATTAGGGTCAGTTTTAAGGTCATTTCAAGGGGGCCACATTTATAGGATGTCAGTGACAAGATGAGGTTGAAGATTAAAGTCAAGTTCAGTGTGAGATTAAAATTAGAGTTATTACTGGGATCAGGGCCACTTACAAAGTTACATTCAAGCTTACTTCAAGATAAAGCAGGTTGTTAGGATGATCATCAGCTCTAGGATGATGGTCAAGATCAGAAGTCAGGGTGCATTTCCATGTCACGTTCAAGGTTAGGACTGGAAGGACAGATCAGAGAGGTACAGTAGCCTTGTTGTGGAGGTGAGCATCAGGGAGGGTTCATAAACCATGGCCCAGTCACTAGACCCCAAGTTGGAGATGACTCTGCTTCTCTAGAACCCAAACATAACACCAATTAGGCCCAACTCACGGAGTGGGAAGATTTAAGATACACATTCCTAGGTGGGATTATAGTCATGAGCTTCTAAGAATGACATTTTGAATGCATGATGTATGAACCAAGAGCAGATACAGAGTAAGAAACCAACTGAGGAGCCTGAGAGGTGGAAATGTAGAAAGTAGAATCCAAGAGCTATGTCAGTTGAACACTTCTGCAAAACCTGTACCTACCCACTAACTGAAACTAGTATTTTAAAAATTGGTTCTCAGTGGCATCTATTGCAGTTGGTGCCTTATATATGTTGGAATACATGTCACCTGCTGCCAAATCTTCCTCTCCTGTGAGAAATCAGAAATCCAGAACTGTAATATCTAAGTACCAGCAACTATACCAATTAAAAAACAAAACACAAAGGCCACTCACAGGCTGTGCATGGTCGATAGGTCACCCGCAATTTGTGTTTGCTCCTCTAAAAGGACAATGTGCTCTCTATCAGGGTCCCCCCCCCCGCCCAATACTAAAATTAATTAAAAAGACATAAAACAAAAACAAACTAGGTCAGATACTGCAGGGCTGAATATGAGAAAGACTCTCTGCCTAAAAGTACCAGAAGTGCCCAGTTATGGAGGGCTCTTGGCTTAATAAAGCCCTGGTTATGATTAGCTAGGAACATTGTGTCTACTGAGCCAATGGCCTGGATAAAGGAAAAAAGACAAGGCAAAGGCAGATGATCTTTGCTCTTGTTACATTTTATTGGCATCACGGTTCATCTCTTTACAGAAGAACTTGGCCCACACCCTAGAATGTAGACCTTTGGAAAAGAGGAAAGTGCTTTGTTAAGCAAGCTACAATGCAGGGGCAGATCCTAGGGAGGGTGCAGAACTGCCAGGGTTTCATACCAAAGAAACCGGTTAATTAATAATGAGCAATACTGGGGAGTCAATAGGGAAAGGAGAAAAAGGTTTGCAAACCTAAGGATACCACAACCCTGAAAGGAGTGCCTTCTAGAACAAAGGTAAAAATCACTAGGACAGATCTGTTTCAGGAATTTCCTTTTCCTCTTATGTAAGTAGGATGCTGATCTAACGGGTAGTTTCTAAGTGTGAAACAGGGAAAAAAAAGGGGGGGGGGGTTTGATGAGAATTTTAAGAACAGTCATCTATCCACTGCACACACCACTATATTATGCAAATCAACCTTTTGGAAAATTTAGATGCAGAAGGGAACGTTCTCCCTCTGGAGAGATGAAAAGCTTTTTGGCTCTTAAGTCTTTGATAAAAGGCATACATAATTCTTGTGCCTACTGTACAGAATACTGCCTCTAGCTGGACTTCTGAATTCTGAGTTCCTAACACTGCAATCCAGACAGGGTTCAACCCTCCATCTTACACACCTGAATTACAGGACTTAAACACATAATCCAAGAATTTCTTACACTAATTTATACATTTTTAATTGGTTGCATATATTAACATGTACTATAAGATTCTTTTCTAAGAAGCATTACATAATAAATGGATACTGTAAAAAGATCTGATTAGTTAAAAGTAACAAGCATTAACAGATACATACAAAACTCAGCCTGATCAGACTGGGTATGAGCCTGTAACGAAGCATGGGGCACCAGCCTTCCCAAGTGATAGCCTTCACAAGAGGAGGGTAGGGATGGGGTAAAAAGATCACAAGACCCTTAAAAAATTCAGGTAACTAATTAGACACACATTATCTGTAAACAGTTGTGTCTCCCTGGTGGGCAAAGAAAATAAGCTTCTGATGCCGACTCTACACCAGAACAATTTCTACAGCTGGCCCATCCTACTGCCACACGAGGGCTCATATAGTAGGTAGGGAAACCCTGATGGAGCCATCACATTCCGGGGCTGCTGGAGTCTGTCTGCTTGTGTCAGATCTGTGTGTGGAGGGGTGAGTGTGTTTGGTGGGGTTTCTTTTGGCAGCTGGATTATGAAAGATCACTTTATGTTTTGTCTGAAAGAGGAGAGGGGGGTTGTGTTGGAAGGCGTAAGTGTGTTCTTGGTTTGTGAAGGGCTCTGTGCCCTGCTCTCGCTCTCATTGCCCATTCAGCAACTGCAGCTTTCTGCCGAGGCTTTGGCCCGGTCGTTCTTGTCCAGTTTGATGGGTTCAGGAAATTCATTGTACAGCTCCACCTCTGTTTCCTGGCAAGGAGAGAGACAAAAAGGTTTGTTACACAAGGCATGGGGAAATTCCCATGGCACACTTCCACTCAGGCTTAGTGGGTAGGGAGTGGGGACAGACCTAGCAGTAAAGGGAGGGCTCTGGCAGAATCAACTGTCAAGGGCTGAGCAAAAGGAAGAAAGGTGTTAACGATAGTTCCAGGACAATGTGAAGAGAAAATTCAGCAGGAAAAGCAGCAACTGACACTGAGCAGTAAGGACAGAAGCTGACTCATGCTCTTCATCAGATGGCAATCTGGTCGCTTGGAGACAACAGCCAACTCACAGATGCTTTCAGTATGGTCCACATAGTTGCCAACCCTTAAAAAAAGGAGCCAGATTTTACATGGCCTGGATTTTTGGCAACTCTTAGTCAGCATTTTCACAAGGCAACAGTGAGTTGAAGATGAGTGCTACTTGCCTCTCAGTCCCAAAATATTCTTCTGGTCCCCTATTTGCCACTCATTTTTCTGGACTTAGGGTCCATTTTTTTCTCTCCAAAGGTTTAGGAGAATTTTATTTCCAAATGCTGAATGCTTAAAAACCAGCTGTGGATCAATTTTATCACCATCTGTAGTAAGCAATTACAGGAGATGGGCTGTGGCAGTTTAGTGTGACTTTTGCTTAATTAACATTTTCCCAGTGAGGAGCAGATTTCTACTTCCTGGTGTAGGAAAATAATTTATCACTTAAATACTGAACACCTGTTGACAGGAACTGTTCTAGGATTTGCAGACTGAAGCACATATTTCTATTCATTAGAAGTTCTCTAGGAAGAATTATTCCATTCACAATAGCTATAAAAGTAAAATCCTCTAGGAATAAATATTTTTAAAAAGTAGCTACCCATCTTCGTATGACACGCCCAACCCATGCTAACCATTTATCTATTTTCTGTCTTAATAGAGTTGCCCTTTTTGGACATTTCATTGGATCAATTTTTATTTGGGCTATTTCCACTTTTTGGCTATTACAAATAGTACTATTATGAACATTTGTCTACAAGTGTTTGTGTAAACCTGTTTTCATGGGTATATACTTAGGAGTGGAATTGTTGGGTCATATGATTACTCTCCATTTAACTTTTTGTGGAATTGCTTGTTTTCCAAAGTGGCTGTACCATTTTACATTCCCACGAGCACCTAGCAATACATTTGATATGAAAGGCAAAGGATCTTAAAAATTATAAAATGTTACTGAAGAATGTAACACAAGACCTAAAGTAATAGCTATTATTGACTGAATGTTTGTTTCCTTCCAAAATTGATCTGTTGAAGTTCTAACCCCGCATTGTGCCTGTATTTGAATTAAGAAAGTAATTAAGGTTAAAATGAAATCATAAGGGTGGGGCACTGATCTGACAGGATTAATGTATCCTTAAAAGACACCAGAGAGTTAGCAGTGTTCTGTCTCGCCCTACTCTCCTCACCCTCTGCATGTCCACACAGAGGAAAGGCCATGTGGGGACACAGGGAGAAGGCAGCAGTCTGCAAGAGGTGAGGAGAAACAGAATTTGCTGGCACCTTGATTATGGAATTCTAGCCTCTAGAACTGAGAGAATATAAAATATAGTTGTTTAAGTCACCCAGTCTGTACTCTGTTACGGCTCCCAAAGGATGCTAATACAATAGCTATAATGCAATCCCAATCCCAATCTCAATTAGGTTTTACTTTGGAGGAGGGTAAGGAAAGAAAAAGGTAGAACTAAAAAAATTCTTCACTTTAAAATTCTTAAAAATACAGACAATAATCAACCAATCAGTAAATGGAAGAACAAACCAATATTTCTCTCTCACACAAAAAATTAATTAAAAAATTTTAAAATAAGACAGCAGAGTTAGAAATGCACTTGCAATACAGGTGAAGTTAATTTTAGTTCACAAAGTGTTCATGAGAACTGATAGGTGCCCAGGCAAATGCTATGTACCAGCTTTTTGCAACAGAGAAAAATGAAAGATTCGCAGCATCAGCAGAGTTACAGATGATGCCTACCACTTGCTTACAAGGAGGTAAGAGAAGGAAAACTTGCATTGCTGGTATGATATAAACTATTACTGCCCTTGGGGAAAGTAATCTCGTATCATCTCTTAAAAATACACATACTTTCCAATCTAACAATCTCACCCCTGAAAGCTAGCTTGTAGAAATAAAAGCACTATAATAAGGCTATTGGGACAGCAATATTTGAAGAGAGAAACTCTAAGGATGATGGCAGTCAACTCCCCACAGATACTTAGTTTTGCATCAATTAGGAAAAACACACTAGGTGTGAGGGTGAGTTAAAGGCAGAGGGAAAGAGGAAGGCAAAAAGGACTAAGTATGCATTCTGGTCAGTTCCTTCCCATTATATCAATATTTCTCACTGGCAGTCCTGGAATTTTGGGTGGACTAATTCTTTGAGTAGGGCTGTCCCTTTTCATTATGAAACACCTGGTGCAACCTTTTAGTTTACAGCACAATACTCCAGCCAACTGAGCCTAGTCCTTGAACAACCCATTCCATATACGTCCAGGCTACAGGTCCAGATGTCCTATCCTGCTGAGAACCACCAGCTTCTATACATTGTTTCCTGAAGCTAGCAGAACCCGCTTGGCCCTTTACAACCATTATGTGCTCCCTGAAATGTCCTTTGCATATCTGATGAGCACCTCGCTTCTGACACCCACCAACCCATACCTGACTACCACAGACAACTGACAATGCCTCACAACTTGCCTTAACTCACTGGCTCTAATAGAGCCGCTAAACCCAAAAAGCCTTCAAACTCACGCATGCCAACAAGTACCTTTTCGTCTGTGAACAGCTGAGTGAACAACACAAGAAAGAAAATACAGGAAAATTTTATTCAAGGAGTAACAATCCCTAGAGCTTCTCTGGTTAACTTTCTGATGACAAAAATAAGTCTATCTCACTTAATATGTACAACCACTGTGCAAAGCTGGTATTCTCATTTTACGGATGAGCAGATGAAAGCTCATATATGATTTAAAAAACAAAAACAAAAAACCAAAAACCCTAAAGCCAATGATGGGTAGCAGAGCTGAGATTAGAATTCAAGTTCATCCCCTCAATAAACAGAAGGAGTCATCCAACCAGGGACCTCCTAATGGCTTGATCTCTTTAGCATGCATATAAAATAAGAGCACGGCCAAACAAAGGCAGCCTCAGTTGAAGTCTTTACTGCCTTGCATCATTCAGTTCATTCACCAAGTGGAATTTCTAGAAGCTTTAGCAGAATGTGCCATTACCTTCCCAGATAAACATACATGTTTTTTGGTTACATGGAAAAGAAAGTCAACTAGGAAAGAAAATTAAGAAGAAGGAAGCCAAGCAGGGGCTGGGTTGATGGTCAATCACCACCGGAAGCCAGACAGCTGCCAGAGACCCACCTGTTTAAGTGCATTCCGTGCAATTGTCTGGAACGCCTGCTCCACGTTGATGGCCTCCTTGGCACTGGTCTCGAAGTAGGGAATGTTGTTTTTGCTGTAGCACCAGGCCTGTGCTCGTTTCGTGGCCACCTGGAAGAGGAAGCAGGATGCATATGTACTCATATTCGAAGCAGCTAGCCAGGCATGTAAACCAGCCAGACTGGTGTCAGCTCAGGACTGCCAAGGCACCAGAAGCAGCTACCAGGAGGGAGCACGATGTGCAGGGTAATGCTGGCTATGGGGATCCAGTGACAGTGTAAGAGGTACTAGCTTTTGACAAGTTTGCACCATGTGTGAATATAAGCTAGTCATTCCTAGCTCAGGAGAGGTTTGGAAAATGCACTGACAGCACAATTTGTTAAAGGAATTTTTGTTGAAAAATATAATTCTACGATAGCAGATTCTTGCAGAAAGCAAGTTGAAATAGTTGCCCAACAGTGCATATTCTTGAACTCTTGGATACTGCAGGAGGGGAACAATCTACAGCAATAAGGGATTTTTACATGAAAAATGGACAAGGCTTTATATTAGTTTATTTCATCACAGCACAGTCCACATGTAACGATTTACAAGATCTCAGAGAACAGATTCTTCAAGCTAAAGACACTGATGATGTTCCAATGATTCTGGCTGGTAATAAGTGTAACTTGGAAGATGGAAGAGTTGTAGGAAAGGAACAAGGTCAAAATCTAGCAAGACAACAGAACAACTGTGCATTCTTAGAATCCTCTGCGAAATAAAAAATAAATGTTAATGAGATCTTTTATGACCTAGTGCAGCAAATTACCAGAAAAACTCCAGTGCCTGGGAAGGCCCACAAAAAGTCATCATGTCAGCTGCTTTAATATACTAAATGCATTGTAGCTCTGAGCCAGGTTTGAAAAACTGTTGTCTAATTCAATAGTGCCAGTATTACAACTTCGTTAAACCTACCAACATCTTAAATGAATTTTCTGCGATAGTACCCTTTAAGAAGCAAGTGAAAGCTACTATATCAGTTTGCACATCCTAATCACTTTCCAGTATCACAAAAGAGATTTTTACTTACATAATAGTCCTAGAGTATGCAGCTGGTAAAACCAGAGGCAACAACCCAGTATTACTGCTAAGAGGCATTTTCACCCACCACTGTTGTACATGTTTGAAAATGGGATACTGTATACTTTAACATGCGCACCCCATACTTTGTATTGGAGAGCACAATAATGTAGATCCTAAAAGCATCATTATTTTAGCATAATAAAAAGGAAGTCCAAACAGCTCCTATAGAGACTACTCAGATAACTTTGTTTCTTTGATACTTGTAGCTTACTGTAACTTCTTAAAAATAAAAGCAAGGTCATTATCATTGGACTGCACAAATAAGTGCTTTGATTAACACAGCTGTATACTTTAAAAAAAAAAAAACCTGTGGAGCCATTGATGTTGTCTTTAAAATATTATAGTGCTTTCAGTATAATGTCTTAAAGACACTGCCTTTAATACCTGTTGGGAAGGAAATGTCCAGATTTTTCAAATCTCTTATCATGTTTCCTTTTTTGTTTACATAAGGAACAGTGTTTATAGTTATATGTACAGTGGGGGGGGTCTACCACAAGAAGTATTTTCAAACAATTTTTTAATGATTTAACGATTTTTGTAAATCATTTTCAGGCTTCTGCAGCTGTAGATTCTCACTGTGCATCCCTTGTTTGCTCATGCATAACTATTTGTAATACCAAATACACAGATTAAGTATTTTAGCCTATTGTTTCAAAGTGTAACATTTTGGTTGAGATGTTAAATGGTGGATGAGTACTGTGGATGTGAATGGGGGAAGTAATTTTAATCATGTGTAATTGGTCACAAGGTCTAAGTTGCAGTAACTATGGATGTTTTATTTAACAATCCAACAGGGAGCACAGTATTTAAATTGACCAACCTAAAGTTACAACTTACTTAGACGTGGCCAAATGTAAACTAAAAGCCCTAAAAAAGTGGTGCAATTTTATATAACTTACCATCAGTAATTCAGTAAATTTGGATTGTCATGCAAGGGCTTGCATTTATTAAAAAAAAAAAAAAAAAAAAAGGGCAGCAGCTAGCACTAACTCAATCCTCAATCCTTCTCAGGAAGAACTGTTGTCCCTGGGTAGCACAGGTGAGAAAAGAGACTTCAGGGATAAGGGTATGCAGCAGGAAAGGGGATAGAGAGAGAGACCTGTAGACCTGCCTGAGGTCACCCTGCTGGCTATGGAGAGTACAGCCAGGATTCAAACCCAAAGCTCATTCACTGCCTAGAACCCATAGCTTTTGACCCTCGGCTACATATAAAAGCAGCTAGTGAAGAGACTAAGAAGCCAATCCAGGAAGAAATGAATTGCCTCTCCTGGGACCTCAGAAGTCGCAGCACAGGAAATGCCCAATAGCTTGGTCTTAGGGTTTGCAGTCTCTTCCCCATTACTGCTGATGTTAGATTAACTGCACCACACATCAAAGTGCCAAAGAATCCTGCAGCTCTCAACATCCTCACATATCCTAATTCTTTCCCCTACCCCAGACCGTTTTCAGGTACAAGAGCAGGAATAAATCACTTAGGAAAGGTAGAAAAAGCTATAATTAAGGAGTAGTCTATGTTACCAAGAAAAATGCATATGAAAATAAAACAGTAATTTTACTCAAAGCAATCTCCTGCACCACCTAGGCAGCTCCTTTGAGGCATTGGGAGAACACTTGAAAATGACAAAATCTAACTCATTCTGCAGCAGAAAGGGGACTGAGGCTCAGAAAGCAAAGGCAAAAGCCCAATATCTGGGCCAGATGGGGACAGCTTAGGGATTTAAACCAGGTCTCCTGGACCCTGGTCCTTAACAGCTGCTGGCCTGAAGGTAATTCACATTCCCATGTGCACTTTCTAGAGCCATTCTGGGTTTAATACAGAACCCTTCAAATTCATGTGGTAACTTAGAAGTAGGTGTCTCTCATAGGAGAGGAAAATAACAATGGGACAACCAGAAAGCCACCATTTCCCAAGTTCCACCTGGATGCCACGGTTTTCATATGCACTGTTATCTGATCCCAGAGTGTTCTCATTATATGAGTGAAGATTCAGATTCTAAGAAATATTCCCAAATTAAGGGTGCATGACTTCCAGCCAAGATGAAGGCATAGGTAGATACACTTTGCCTCCTCATACAACCAAAACAAGGACAACAACAAATTAAAAACACATAAAAAAGAACTGCCAGAAAATCGAACTGTATGGAAGTTTGACAGCCAAGGAGTTAAAGAAGAAACATTCATCCAGACCAGTAGGAAGGGCAGAGAAGGGGAGCTGGGGGGAGAGGCACAGAAAGACAGCAACTAGATGACCAGGCAAGGCAGCGGCTAGTCCCACATTTGCATGCAGATAAACCAGGAGGTAACTCGGGAGCAAGACAGACTGCAAACCAGGATTCTAGCACAGAAAAAGAAAAGCCTCAAAACCTCTGGCTGTAAAATTCTGTGGGGGATGTGGCAGTGGGAGAAACTCCCAGCCTCACAGGAGAGTTCACTGGAGACCCACAGAGTCTTAGAATGTACACAAACCCACCCACCCAGGAATCAGCACCAGAAGGTCCCAATTTGCTTGTGGAAAATGAAGGAAGTAACAAAAAGCCAGCTGAGAGCTGAACAAGCTGCACTGTTCCCTCTCTGACCCCTCCCCCACAAACAGTGCCACAATACAGCATCATGGGTTGCCCCGCCCTGGCAAATACCTAAGGCTCCACCCCTTACAACCTAACAGGTGTGCAGAGACAAAAACAATATGGCCCAAATGAAAGAACAGATCAAAGTTCCAAAAACAGAACTAAGCTATGAACAAATACCCAACCTATCAGATGCACTGGTAATCAGGATGTTCACAGAAATGGTGGAGCATGGTCACAAAATAGAGGAAAAGGGAAGGCTCTGCAAAGTGAAATAAAGAAAAATATAAAGGGAGCCAACAGTGAAGGGAAGGAAAGTGGGACTCAAGTCAATGATTTGGAGCAGAAGGAAGAGACAAACATTCAACCAGAACAGAATGAAGAAACAAGAATTCAAAAAAATGAGGAGAGGCTTAGGAACCTCTGGGACAACTTTAAACAGTCCAACATCAGAATTATAGGGATGCCAGAAGGAGAGGAAGAGCAAGAAATTGAAAGCTTATTTGAAAAAATAATAAAGGAGAACTTCCCCTATCTGCCCAAGGAAATAGACTTCCAGGAGATCCAGGAAGCTCAGTGAGTATCCAAGAAATTGGACCCAAGGAAGCACACACCAAGGCATATCATAATCACATTACTCAAGATTAAAGCTAAGGGGGGAATAAAGATGGCGGAGGAGTGAGTGAAAGTCACGCTGACCTCCTCCCAGGACCAACCTGGAATTACAACTAAATTGGGGAGAAATCACCTGGAACAAACAACTGAACGAGAGCGAGAGAGGAGCCTTGTAACCTTGGAGACAGAAGAATTGGCTTTAGCGCAATCTAACTGGTAAGGAATGCGGTAGAGATCTGAGAAGGTGGGTGGGGCGCCCATAGGTGGCAGCACCAGAAGGATATTGAAACAGCCAGTTGGATCCCCTGAGGAGAGTGGGGTCTAAACCAAAAGCAGGGCTCTCTAGCCCACAGCATCAGAGCCCAAAAAGTGCACTGAAAAGAGCCAGCTGCGAAAAGCGGCAGGGTTGCTTTCTGCCAGAGACAGGCAGCTGGAGATGCAAAGAACTGTTTTAGAGGGCCAACGCATAAATTTTTTCCGCAGCCACTTACCCTGGTCTCCGGCAAGGTTGAGGGCAGAGTGGGCTAGAGACGCCTGAGGAGAGACTGGGGAAGGAGGCTTTGGGGAGAGAACTGAGAGAGTAGCCGGCGGGATCTCGGTGCTGACTCATCCCCCATGCGGCAGCAGCCATCTTGCTCAGGAAAAGACCACTCCCCCGGAGCGGTACCAGTGTCAAGGGACCCAATAGCCCCACCCGAGGTGTGATTCCACCCTGCCCTGTGCTGTCTAAGCTGCCTACTGAGTGCAGAGTGGCAGCCACAGACAGTAGATCCCTGGATAAAGGGGGCACAGAGAAGTCTGGCGACA